ACAGAAGATTCATTTGTGGGGTTTTGAATGAAGTGGGAACGGGAAACCAGAGATGTTTTGTGCGTAATGGATAAACTCTAAATCGGTGATGGCTGTCGGAATGTAGAGCTATTTAACATTTATTTTAACAAATGATACGGATAACATATAGCCTACAGCAGTTTGTATGCATCGTCTTCAAATTATTTGAATCTTAAGGGCCTAAAGCTCTGTTTTATACAACGTAAATTAAACATTTTTCAAATCAGATTTATTCATTCAAATGATCAAAAAGCCACAAAACAAAACAAACAAAAAAAAAAACATGTTGTCTCAAATAATTCTTTCAGCTGGCGCATGCTCCTTCGTGGCTCCACCACCTGCTGCTCCTGCTGCCCCTGCCCCGAGGCCGAAGAGGCTGTGATCCGGCTGTCCTTACGGATATTTTTATTATCATCATTCAACATGTAGCTAGAGAGAACGTGTAATCTATTGAGTCGATTTACATAGATAATTCACAATCATGAACCTAATCCGGATCTTAAACCTGCTAATTGCCAACTAATTTAACTAAATGTGTTATATTTTTAATATTTTGTCATGTTTAGATTACGTGTTTCAAAGGCATCTGTGTATTGTGTACATAACAGAGCACAATACGAATTAAAATTGTAATTTCCAGTAGTGACAAGCAATATTTATGTGCTTTACTAAATTTACACAAGCACTACGAGTGGTCAGGAGCGGGAGTAGATTTTGTTAGTAGCTACAAAAAGATTGGAGCTACTAAAATATTGATGAATGTGGACATGCACGTAAATTTCCGCCTGCGAACAGTTTACACACAAATTCCTTCTGCTCACGTTTCATGAATGAGACCCAATGTCTTGACTTTCCAATTCGGCTTACTTGAAACCTCTGAGATATATTTGCGCCATCTACACATACGTAACGTAAAAGTAGTTTTCAACCAGGGGACTGGTGACCCCCAGAGAGTTCACGGCAGTCCCCAGAAAAAAGGGAAATAGTTTAATTTCCCTATTTTATTCACTATAGAAGTGAGCCTGATGTGAGTAAAAGTCACATGAGTGACTACTCTGATCATAGGTTCCACTTCTTGTATGAATATCTCATAAGCTGTAGATAACAGCAAAAGAACTCTGGTTTTAATCATATATAACATCAAAAATCTTTTCAGATGGAGGTCCCTGAAGCTAAATCTTATCAAATGGGGGTCCATGACCTCATGTGTATCAATTTAGGGGTCCCTGTCACAAAAAAGGTTGAGTACAATTGATCTAAACTTAAGTGTCTAATGCATGGACTGAGCAATCTTTTAAACCATTCTGCTGTCTAGGCAAAAACCTTTCAAAATCTGCATTGGTTTTGATTACAAAAATATATTTTTACTGATCACTGTTCACGTCAGAGACTTTTTTGGCTCATTTATGTATAAATCTCTCATTTTAGGTCACCTTTTATGTTTAAATTATAAATCACCAAAAGGCTCTAACAGTCTCTATAGATAAACACAGACTCACTTATAGACTTGGCTTTTGTGTCCAGTGTTCTTTGGAGTGCTATGGAAGCCTACAGTGTACACAGGAATATGGGCCATCTTCTTTGAGGGAATCTTCATCTGGAGCACAGGAAGGAGCATGAGAGAAAAAAACAATGAGACAGAAAAGAGAAGAGAAACAGAACGGCATTATGAAAAGACAGACTTGATGACAAAATACTTCATTTAAGTATTTACAGAGTCTCCAAGTCCAAGCCAACAGATTCAAATACACAAACACTAAGGACTTCACATGTACACAGCAAATAACCATGACCATTAGCTGTGGCACAAATCACAGACACAAATGAGTAAATAACTCAAACAAACATATATTTCAAACCACAATAATGTCACAAAACACAAATGACTCACGGCACCCCAACAAACGACACAACACACGTCATTTATAATAATAAAAAACACACCAAATCCAAACAGCCTAAATCTCAAACCTACAGAGCACAGAACCAAACATCCGACACGGTCTGGGACTGAGGCAACAAATCAAAACCAACAAAAGAACAACAGAAGAATTGACGTCAACAGAAATACCAGCCACTTTACTGAATGATGTACTTGACAAACTGAAATAATAAAAGTGTTAACAAGTGGTACAGTATCACATTTAAAGTCCTGATGTTGTTTTACAAAGCAATAAACAGCCAAATAAGCACAGGACCATACTGAAAATAAAAATAAAGCAAAAAAAACTTGATGGTTGCCATCATTACACTCAGACTGTGCGTAATTAAAGTTACCTTTGCACTGCAGGAGCCGCAGACAGATCTGTAAGAGGAACACAAATGAATCAACACACCTGTATTCCTGAATGTTGTAAAAGGTAAACCGTTTTTTTACTAGCTAAAGTAATAAAATGACCATGATAAATCTGTGGGGTTAACTGGGCGGAGTATCAAAATCACTAACAATAATCAGCTTGGGTACTCAACTCCAATATTAAAACTGTCAATTTCAGATCACCATAGCTCAAAAGGGCAGTTCACCCCAAAATCATGTAGACTTTCATGTTGTCAAGAACAAACATCAGGTAGGATTTAAAGATAAATGTGGATTCAAAAAATGTATGTGATACCTTTTACACAGTAAGCAGGTAGATGGCCATGAGAAGAGAGGGAATTTCACTCTGCAGCAGCAACAAACCTGAGAAAACACACACACACACACACACACACACAAAGTTACTGAGTCCATTTACTGTAAACACAGCACAGTGAGAAACAGCAACAAGGGAAGTTCCACTCCGTTACCTTGCCTTTCTTCAGATTATTGTAGAGCTCTTTGCTCTGAAAAAACTTCTCCATCTCTGCTTTTACCAGCACTCTGCGCACGTTGATGACCTCATCCACTGTTAAGGCGAGACTCTCCACAGGGTGGCTGAACTCCTCCTGAACACAGCCCACGGCAGAAGAAGAGAGGAGATTTATCACTCAGTCCACTCAGTAGTTTACTCTATAGTGAGCAGTAGACAGATAGATGTCAAATAACAGCTTGTAACACTTTAAAATTTCAAAGGCAAAACAGTGCACCACAAAAAGTAAGTCTATATGAACACTGTTTTATATGTTCCACTATAAGCCTTTTTAGGACAATGTATCGAGAATATATTTTAAGATAAGATTTGTATGCTAAAAAATAGCTAACACAAATTAGCAACAACACAAGAGCACAAGAAAAGTGAAATATCAGACACATAAGAATGAATGAGATTCCATCCTTTCCCCCTTCAAACAAAGACGTGTCTCCATATGAGATCACTTATGCTCTCAAATTGCTTCTTAACATTGTTGAGAAACCCTGCATGCTGGTAATAGTTGTATCTGACAGAGTATTGCCTGCCCAGCATCAATCAGCACACAAAGTGTTAGAGAACATCTATCAATAAAGAGTAAGATATTTGCACCAGGAGTTTGTGGCGACCAAAAGAGGGCTAAAATGAGGGTGAATATTTGATATTATATATATATATATGTGTGTAAATAGGCACGTATAAACATTAAAATGACAAGCAAGAGTGAAAACATTGAATTTCCCCTCAGGGGGATTAATAAAGTGAATAAACTTAAACTTAACTTAAAGGAGCTATATGTAAGAAACCTAAAGCAAATAGTCGTAAAATCATCCTAATATGTCACAGAGACTAAGGAATAATGTTCATATAACATACTGATCTCACCGACAACAATAGTACAGCCAGAATATTCGCATCTAAAAAAAATTTTTGCGGTCCACAAATCATGTTTATGTTTTGAATTTGTGTTTTGGCCTGTTGCGCCACCCACCGCCGTCTACCAGTCACGCAGTCAGTAGAGTCTCAGCATCAGTTACAGTTA